CCTAAACCTTAAACCCTAAAGGAACCAAGAGGCACAATACTGCTCATGCTTCAGGCTTCTACACTGAGCTGTTCAGTAACCCGCTGGAAGAAGTATATCCGTTTAGTCATATTATACTAGGGACAAACGCCCCCAAAAAACAGAAGAGATACCACTGAACATCCGAGTACATTACAGGCAACAGGGACTGTTCCTGGTAGCCTTTGCAGGTTCTTGAATCGAGTCCCTTGCTGCTCCCTGGAAGTCTTTTTTCTTAGGGATCTATGGTGTGGTTTCAGGCTTTAGGGTTTAGGGTTTTTGCTGCTTGCTTTTTGAAGTGTTTGGGAGTTTTGAGCGATTTGAGCGCCTCCTGAAGACTTTCCCAGCACGCTTGTCCCTCAGCTCACGGACAATCGATGCTCTCCAAAATTATGTTCGTTCCATGCTGCCCCTTTCTGAAACCTCCATACCCTCCCTACCCTAAACCCTAAACCCTAAACCCTAAACCCTAAACCCTAAACCCTAAACCCTAAACCCTAAACCGTACGGCCTTCATAGAACCCCTCATCTTGAAGTTCTAGATGCCCGATACCGGCAGGGGCGTTTATATTTGGAGCAGGGTTTAGGGCTCTTCTGTAATACAATGACGATAAGGAGCCCTAAGGGAATAGGGTTTTGGGCTCCCTTATAATACAAGTAGGATAAGGACCCCTAAGTTAGGAATACTATTGGAGATTAGCTAGGCGTCTATGTTGGGGAAGTCGGTCCTTCGCGGACGCCAGCTCCAGAGCGAAGTTCTCCTTGTCTCGAAGCTTACCGGGGCCCACAAAGGCAGTGCCGCCACCACTTGGACGTCGATTGCAGGACAACGTGCGAAGGCCCAGAGCCTTTGCAGTTGCCCTAAACTCTACACCCTGAACCCTAAACCCCTAGTCCGTACACCCGAAACCGTAAACCCTTCAATACCCTAAACCCCCACACCCTCAACCCTAAACCCGAAACCCCTAGTCCATACACCCGAAACCCTAAACCCTTCAATACCCTAAGCCCTACACCCCTAAACCCTAAAACCCCCAAGTCAAGGGTTCCAAACCCTCAGATCTGAGGATCAGAAGTTTAGGGCGCATGGATTGGTGTATGGAACTTGGAATGCTCTTAGCCTCCCTGAATCTTTGGTTTAGGCTTTAGGGTCTGGGGTTTAGGGTCGGGTTTAGTGACTTTAGTGGTTTAGGGCTTAGGGTTTAGGGTAGGGTTTAGGGTTTCGGGTTTTAGTGATGACCAGCTCTGCTCTGTCATCGGCGTCTTCTATATGAGAGTATCCCGACATGGAGCCATACGGAGGGGCCATGTTTGGACACCAAGGTTGGTCACCGAAGACTTAAACCTCAAGGGGCTAAGGGATCCTTAAAGGGACCCTTGGGGTTATATAGGGGCTTTCTTTATGAGACTATATAAGCGGTATATAAGGGTTATATAGGGTGTTTGGATTAGGGGTCCTCTCTAGGGGCCCCTCCGATTGTCCCTTCAAAACCCTACCCTAAAGTTGAAGCCCGAAGCTACAGCAAGAACATGAAGCTCAAAGATCCCACCCTAAACCCTAAACCCT